CAACAGGGTACAATCCCTGGGCCACAGTCCCTCCCCTCTCATTCCCCTCCCCACCACAGCAGCTCACCCTGCAGCGATAGCGGAAGCCCTCGATCTCCTCCATCCGGAACTGGTAGGGGAGCAGAACAGGGCCCCTGTTCTCTGTGGAGAAGAAAGCAGTGAGGGTCCCACAGGCTGAGGCCTTAGGACAAGGTCTTCAATGAAGGTCTCCTGCACCTCCTCCTTGGGGCAAAGCTGCAGGGGACCCACCGCCTTCCTGGGATGCCAAACATGTAGCTTAGCTGTACCTGGACCTCTTACAGTGATGACCCATCTGTCCCTGTGTGTGGATGGGGGTGGCCTGTGTGGCCCCGAGCCCAAGAACCCGTCACCCACTCTCTTCTCCTCTCCCAAGGAGTACCCCATAGTATTCCTTGGGAGTCAAGGTACCCCGTGACGATGGCCACAGAGAGCAGTCTAGGATCACCCAGCACCCTGGGGTCAGGTGGTGTCCTGAGCTGTCACAGCAGCATGTCAGGTCACTCAACGCTCATGAGGCAGACAGTAAACATGACTTTGGACAAATTACCTCAATTTGTTTATCTCTCAAGGGGAACAGTGCCTGCCACTCAGGGCAAAACAAGGATGGATGGTGGAAGTGGCGTGTCATACTATGTTGTGACCTCTGTCATCATCATCATGGAATTTTAAAGCATTGTGCGAGAAGCCTGACCCTGGCCCAGGCCCACAAGAGCCAGGCTCTTACCTCCACTGAGAAGCTCCTCAATCTTGCCTAAGTGGGACTGCTCCGTGGGCAGCACAAAGGTTAAGACTATGCCTGGGTTGTTAGCGCGTGCTGTCCTGCAAGGAGAGACAGTGCAGCTTGCATCTCCAACCCGCAGGCTCTGTACAGTACACCCCAAGTCCCTCAGCGTGCCCACCACACAGGTGCCTGGGCCATCACGCTCCTAGCCCTCCTACCTGCCGGCTCGATGGATGTAGGCCTCAGGGGTTGGGGGAAGATCAAAGTTGAGCACAGCAGACACATGGTGGAAGTCTATGCCCCGGGCCACACCTGCCTCCGGATCAGAGGCCCTGCAGAGATAACTCAATGTCAGTCGGACCCTTCCTCTCCTCTGGGCAGGTATTCACAAGCTGAATCAGCAAAACTTCCTCTAAACAATGCCTGCAGATCATAAGACCCTGACATACAGAGGACTCTTCAACAACGGAACCGTTTCAGGAGTCAGGGTTTCCTGGGGCAGCCTGGAGCTTTGACATGGAGCCAAATCCTGGCCTGACCTCCGTTCTGGGACAACAGCAGAACTCAATGCCCTACATGGTGATCTGAGAACCAACCCTGAGCTAGTCAAGCCTTCAGGTGGAGAGAGACTGGAGAGTTGGGGGGTTCCTTTTCCCTTCAGAAATATGCTCCCTGTAAGTCACAGCCACATGCAGGACAGGCCATCTCCCCTGCAGGGCTCTGCATGCCAACAACCCCACCAGTCTTGCCCTTCATGCTGCATATGCAGTGTGCACCATCCACTCCCTTCTTTATATCCAGGCAGCTGAGCAAGAACCTGCGGGGTTCTCTGGGCTACACTACCAGCCAGGCCTGGAAGGTTTGGCTCCCTGCTCTGTGCACTCCAGTTTTAGTCTTCCAAAAAGCTAAAAGAAACCGGTCTTTCTGGGGAGGGATGGAAAAAGAGGCATGGACTCACTTGTCCCCTTTGGGTCCTCGGCCCCGACGCTTGCCCTTGACCGGGGCCCCCAGGACTTCGGCATCAGTTGCTATGACACAGTCGTAAAAGCCTTGGTTGAACTGTGAGATGATGTGGCACCTGCAGCCAAGAGTGGACAGAGAATCAGCTCGGCAGAGCAAGCTTGAGGCCCCTCTGCCATCCCTACTATCATAGTAACCATCACCCTTTCCTACTTTTTCCTCTTCTTAATCTCTTTCCCTACTTAATCATTGTGCCTCACTTTCCTCAGCTGGAAATAAAATAATGACCGGGTTTTGTTTTTTTTTGAGACAGAGTTTCACTCTTGTTCACCAGGCTGGAGTGCAATGGCACGATCTCAGCTCACTGCAACCTCCACCTCCCGGGTTTAAGCAATTCTCCTGTTCCAGCTTCCCGAGTAGCTGGGATTACAGGCGCCTGCCACCACGCCTGGCTAGTTTTTGTATTTTTAGTAGAGACGGGGTTTCACCATGTTGGCCAGGCTGGTCTTGAACTCCCGAACTCAGGCAATCCGCCCACCTTGGCCTCCCAAAGTGCTGGGATTACAGGTATGAGCCACGGCGCCCCGCCATGAGAGGGATTTTGGAGTTGGGAGAAGTCAGTCAGTATCAAGTTACATCTCGAACCTGGCCCCTACTAAGTGCTTAAGAAACAGAACATTAACTGGGTCCCCTTTCCATCTCTATCTTCAACTTATCTCAACCAAGATGTTGGCTGTAGCAAACCTGGAGCGCAGTGGAAGTTCGCCATTGAGCACACAGGTGGGAATGCTGAACTGCTCCAGGAACAGGCGTAGCCGGTAACTCCGCTCTAGAGTGTTGACAAAGAGCAGAGACTTGCCCCGAATCAATGACAGCTTGAGCAGGGCATACAGCAGCAGGAATTTGTCTTCCTCAGTCTCACAGACCACCTGAAACTGCTGTAACTGGTCTGGCCCAGGCAGCTGGGACTCCTGTAACTTAAGGGTAACCTGGGGAGAAAACAGGCCTGTGGTCAGAAAGGAAAAGAACACAGAGATGGTATGGCCACTTACTCACCAATCAAAGCATCAACATTTTAGTGCAGGGCAGAGATGCATTTAAGGATTCCTGGCACCCTAAGTCTCCTCCAGTTTTGTAACCTAAAACCCCAAAATGCCCTAATTGTTGTGGTATATAGAATATACCACCAAAACCATATATAAAATACTTCCAAGCACAGAACAAAGAGAAACACATCAATAAAGGACTACATCGAGGAGGGAAGGCCTACAGCAACACGCCTTCTGAAAGGTAAAGTTTACTTAAGATGAGAACCTTGGCCTTAGAATTTTCGCTCTGCTGCTCAAAGCTGCCCCTGAGGGGAGGTCCTTGCTCAGGATTTTAGGCAAAGTATGGCCTGAAATGGGAGACATCCCCTGTGGACACTGGGAAATATACAGTGATTTTAGACCACTGACTTTTAGTGCCTCAGGACCAGGGACGAGACACTAAGTGACAACTGTCCCACCCAAAACACCAAAGGCTCCCCTAAGGAGGAGCATCAAGATCTTTGAGTGCCCCCATGCCTGCAGCTCCAGACACTTCCATGGTGCCTCTTACCGGGTTATGTAATACTAGCTCCTTGAGTGCTTGTACGTCCTCGTTAAAAGTTGCCGACATGAGAAATGCCTGGTAAATCCGGGGCAAGTGACTGAAATGAAAGAGTCCAGTGAGATTCCAGCTCCAAGGGCCACTAATTGTAGTAACTGGCTTCCAGCCACCTGACTCTCGTCCCAATTCCTACTCACAGATGTTTCCACTAGGAATCACACCCACTTCTGCCTTACCAGAGGAGACTCTTGAGCTCTTCTTCAAAGCCAAAGGAAAAAAGAAGATCAGCTTCGTCCACCACCAAAAGCTCCAGGGAGTCACGAAGTTTCAGGCTGTCTTGCTGCAAGTGGCTTAATATGCGAGATGGGGTCCCCACTACCACATCTGGCTTCTCCATCAGCATAGCTCTGCAGGTGGGCAAGACATCAATATCAGGGACAATGTAGCAGCTGGGATCTCACCCTGGACTTGCTCTTTTTTGCCACACACAAACCCAACCCCACAACTCTGTGTGGCTTCATTCAGGTACCGCTTTGCTGCTTTTACCCACCTCTGAGAGGCTGAGTCTTCGGCAGCTGAGACATTGGCCACTCGGACATCCCGAGCACAGTAGGTAGCCAGCTGCTGAATCATGGACTGTGCCTGCCGTGCCAGTTCCTTGGTAGGAACAAGAACAAGGCCTCTCACTGCCTGTTCTACCACCGGACCTGTCTGTAAGAATATGAATTAAAGACTTTAGCCAGCAGTGCACATCACTGTGTCCACCTGATGCTTTTCTCTACCCGTTCCAGCCTAACTGACCCATCGCTGCAACCCTACTCAGCAGTATTTTGATTATCTATCACTCTGCCAGCCTCAGAATGCAGAGTGGAGAGTTGTTTCCTCAGGCACTGACCCTCAAAAAGAATAACGTACTCTATGTTTATGAAGCTACTTTAAACGTACTAGTTATGAAGCTAAATTCTCACAATAATTCTATAAGTAGAAAAAAGAGATGTGCTCCCTTTTCATGTTAAGAAACAAAATAAAGTGCTTTGTTGAAGATTACGCAAAGGTTGGTGGTAGCAGGGCCTGGACAAGCATCCAGGTAACCTGAACTACTACAGCCCAGAGTGTCTGCCACAACAGCACCAGGTTCTCAGGCCGGCCTGCACGGGTACAGGACCAAGAGAAAACCTCCGACAAACGGGAACAGCCCTTCCCAGGCTTTTGGAGCTCGCCTCCTTCCTCCCCTCAGCTTTCTCGTTACCCACCGCCTTCCTGTGGAGCAACAGCTGCAGCATCGGAATAGCATAAGCTGCCGTCTTGCCGGAGCCCGTGCGGGCCCGAGCCAGGAGGTCCTTCCCTTCTAGGGCCAGTGGGATGGCCTTTTCCTGGATCAGCGTAGGTCGCGACCAGCCCATATCGGTGACAGCCTAGGAGAGACCAGGAGTGCGGCTCAAGCGGCGCGAAGAGTGATGGCGCGCCCCGCGGAGCCCATAAGCCGGCTCCCCAGCCCTCGCGTGTACCTGCAGGAGCCGGGGATCGAGGCCCATGTGTTCAAAGCCCAGTGCTTCTGAGTCCTCCATGGCGCCGCTCACTAGCGACAGCACGCACGCACTGCAGGAAAAAAGCCACGGACGCGGGGGGCAAAGCAACAACCAATCAGCTTCGGAGACACCGTCACTTCCCGGAAGTGCTGGCGCCTAGGCTTCCGGTGTTCGGGCGGAGCTCTGCGACTGCGCAGCGCCAGCGACTGGGTCTAGGAGGAGGCGGTGGAGCGGCCGTGCTGGGGTCGAAGGGGTCCTTATGACTGCAGAGCCGCCCCACAGACTCCTCCGGCGTTCCCGGACGCCGCTGACGCACCTGATTCTCGCGACCTGCAGGAGAAACCTCGGCCGGGGCCGAGGGCCGAGGGCCGAGGGCCGAGGTCGTGACGGGCACGACCGTCTCCCTGCTTGGTTAGGGTTAGGGTCCCGCCGGGCACACCACCCTATGATGGAGCCACTGAGATCGACTGGGCTGAAGGGAACCGGTTGGAATAATGAGCCATGGCAGCAACTTTGCCTGAGAGAGAGGAAGGGCGGGTTGCTGTAGGGCTCCCGAACCGGGCTGCCTGTCAGACACAGCTTGGTTTCTGTTCTTTGTGTCCCAAGTCTGACTCGGGTCGCCAATTAAGACCCGTGTCAGACTTCTGACCTACAGACTTGCGTCGTTTTAAGCCACTAAATTTGTGATAATTTGTTACAGTAGCAATAGGAAACATACAGGTGAGGACCAAGAATCCTAATCACAAATCTTTTTTTTTTGAGACGTGGTCTCACTGTTATCCAGGCTGGCGCGATCCTCCCACCTCAGCCTCCTGGAAAGCTAAGACTACAGGCACGCACCACCACGTCCAGTTAGTGTGTATGTATGTACGTACATATATGTGTGTGTATATATATGTATGTCCCCCTCCCCCCTCCCTTCTCTTTTCTTTCTAGATGGGGTTTCGCCATGTTGCCCAGGACGGTTTTGAACTCCTGGGGCTAAGTGATCTGCATTCCTCGGCCTACCAAAGTGCTGGGATTACAGGTGCGAGCCACCCCTCCTGGCCAACAAGTCTTTCAGTGTAGAAGAGGGAAGCAGAAGAGATCAAAGTGGTGCCATGTGAAGGCTCAACCCACCCTTGCAGGAGGAAGGGAGCCAGAGCCAAGCTGGAAGAGGCAAGGAAACAGACCTTTGTGATTACATTAGGCCCATCCAGATGATCCAGGATAATCTATTTTACAGTCATCTGATTAGCAATTTAATTCTCTTTTGTCATGTTAGGTAACATATTCACATGTTTCAGAGTGGTAGGCCATTATTCTGCCTACCATACCACCCAACACAAATCTATATTAAGACTGTATCTGAGTGTTGCACAGGAATCTATGTCAACAAGCTTCCAGGGTGATCCTGTGTATCCTATATGATGCAGCCTAGCATCTGAGTACCAGAGACTAGCATCTGGCTGTTAGGTTAACAGATCAGCTCATGCACCAATGGGTAGTCATGCTGGGACCAAATGATGAAGATAGGTACAACTAGTCCCAGCGAGAGCTGGGAAACTGGGCTGGGATATAGAGGATGTTAAGAATAGAGTGTCCTCCCAACCCCAGAACTTTTTTTTCTTTTTTTGTGGTAAGGAGGGAGAAGGCTGTTTGGCAAGGATGTTGTAAACTCTGAGAAAGCAGGAATTTCGAAATAGAGTCAAGGGTAGTATTCAGGGGAAAATCACCAAAATTTTTGTGTACCCTAACTGCTGTTTTTTTGTTTGTTTGTGTTTTAGACAGAGTCTCACTCTGTCACCCAAGCTGGAGTGCAGTGGCACGATCTCGGCTCACTGCAAGCTCCTTCTCCCAGGTTCACGCCATTCTCCTGCCTCAGCCTCCTGAGTAGCTGGGACTACAGGCTCCCGCCACCACGCCCGGCTGATTTTTTGTATTTTTAGTAGAGACAGGGTTTCACCATGTTAGCTAGGAGGGTCTCAATCTCCTGACCTTGTGATCCGCCTGCCTCGGCCTCCCAAAGTGCTGGGATTACAGGCATGAGCCACCGCGCCCGGCCCCTAACTGCTGTTTTTTAAAAAACTTTTTAGGTCACAACCTATCTGCAAATATGACACACCAGTATGGAAATCCTCATTCTTCTCACAGCCACCAGCTATTGGCCCATCCACTGACTATCCCAATTCCACCTGTCTCATCAGTGGAAAGGTGAAATGTGTGCCCACTTTTTCCTCACACCATTCCCCTTTCTATCAAAAACTACCAAGAGAAACCCAGGACCTACCAGAATAGTTAAGATGTGCTCCATTGTGTCTACTGCCAGCCAAACCTGTTGAAGGCCGGCTCAACCTTAATCTGTGCCTTCCTGTCTTCTCACAAGCTTAGTCTATTTGCCGACTAGATTTCTAATAACAGCCACAGAGCAGAAATGTGTCCCTCCCAGTATGTCACATAATCCCCAAAAGCTGCAGGCCAGAATTCCACAACATGTAACTAGTTCAAAGGACTTGATTTTTCTCTGCATTAATTCCAACATGAGGAATACTGAAAACTCTTTAAAACATCTGAAGAATTTCAGCAATTCACAATTCACCTTACTGGACTGTAACACTGTTATCCAGATTTAGAAATATGAGGATATAAAAATATTAAATGGAAAAGCCTAGAGAACTAAAATTTTTTTTTTTTTTTGAGACAGAGTCTCACTCTGCCCCCCAGGCTGCAGTGCAGTAGCTCGATTTCTGCTCACTGCAACCTCCTCCTGGGTTCAAGCGATTCTCCTGCCTCAGCCTCCTGAATAGCTGGGATTACAGGCACACACTACCAAGCCTGGCTAATTTTTATACTTTTAGTACAGACAGGGTTTCACCATGTTGGCCAGCCTGGTCTCAAACTCCTGACCTCAGGTGATCCACCTGCCTTGGCCTCCCAAAGTGCTGGGATTATAGGTGTGAGCCACCCCACCTGGTCCTAAATT